ATACAAATTCAGTGAGTACCAGGTACAAATTCAGTGAGTACCAGGTATACATCCAGTGAGTACCAGGTACAAATCCAGTGAGTACTAGTTACAAATACATTGAGTACCAGGCAGGTACATATCCAGTGAGTAACAGGTACATATCCAGTAAGGTTAAGGATTCTTTATTTGTCGTTCACACCACATGTGGTACATGTGGTGAAACTAAATTGTGTACACAGGGTTCCAGTTACATCCAACAAAAGTATAAATTGTAAAGAAAAACAGTAATAAGATCTAAGATACAGTATGAACTAAGAAATATGTTAAACTAAAAATACACTAAGCACTAACAGTACAAAAACAATACACTGAACAGCAGCAGCACGAACATGAGTCTGTGTGAGTAAATGAGTACGAATGAACACAGCAGCATGAAATAAATCAGCAGCATAAGATCAGCAGCATGGATAATCAGCAGCACGTATCACAATCAAGTGGAATTAGTGATTTTTTTTTCACAGAGATTATTCTAGTTAGAGATTCATGAGTCTAACAACCTCAGGGTAGAAGCTGTTCCTCAGTCTAGTGGTTCTACACTTAATGCTCCTCAACCTCCTTCCTGAGGGGAGCGGGGCAGAAAGTGTGTGTGCTGGGTGAGTGGGGTCCTTCATGATGCAGGTGGTCCTCTTCTTGCATCTGGAGGTGTAGATGTCTGTGATGGTGGGGAGACTGACTCCAAGTACTATGTACATATACAGTGAGTACCAGGGACAAATCCAGTGAGTACTAGGTACATATTCATTCAACCTTTATTTATACAGTTTAGTCTCATTGAGTCACGAGTGGGATAGAAGAGGGACTGGTGGCACAGAGGTTAGAGAAGGTGGGCCTGTCATTGAAAGATTGCTGGTTCAACTCCCGGTACAGACAACATCAAAATGTGAGTGGGAAAGGTGAAACACCCACACCTGCCTTCACCATCATTCACCCCACTCTGGGCCCTTGAGCAAGGCCCTTAACCCCCACCATCTGCTCCCCAGGGCACCCTAGACAGCAGCTCTCTGCTTCACACAGAGGGCTGTGGTAGCTCGGTGGTCTGTGGTTGCAAAGGGCATCCAACATAAAAAAATAATTGCAAAGCCTTCATGCGACAGTTTGCTGTGGCGACCCCTGAAGAAGGGAGTAGCCAAATGAAAAAAAAAGAAAAGAAAAGAAAAAAGTCTCATTGAGTCACGAGGACTCATTTATAACAGAGACCTGTTGAAAACAAAACCACCGATAAGGTACACACAACAATAAACAGCCATAAAATGCATATAAAATGAAAAGTAAATAAAATTAGTGTTCTAAAACAAGCTACATTATGAAATGGGGTAAAATACTAAAAACAGGAACATGTCTGCATTAACTTTTGCATTGAACTTACAGTGGGGAGAACAAGTATTTGATACACTGTTGATTTTTCAGGTTTTCCCACTTGCAAAGCTTGTAGATGACTGTAATTTTTATCATAGGTACTCTTCAACTGTGAGTGATGGAATCTAAAACAAAAATCCAGAAAAATAAAATATATGATTTTTAAATAATTAATTTCCATTTTATTGTGTGAAATAAGTATTTGATCATCTATCAACCAGTAAGAATTTTGGCTCTCACAGACATGTTAGTTCTTCTTTAAGAAGCCCTCCTGTTCTCCACCCATTACCTGTATTAACTGCACCTGTTTGGACTTGTGACCTGTATAAAAGACACCTGTCCACTCAATCAATCAATCAGACTCCAGCATCTCCACAATGCCCAAGACCAGAGAGCTGTGTAAGGACATCAGGGATAAAATTGTAGACCTGCACAAGGCTGGGATGGGCTACAGGACAATAGGCAAGCAGCTTGGTGAGAAGGCAACAACAGTTGGTGCAATTATTAGAAAATGGAAGAAATACAAAATAACGGAAAATCTCCCTCGGTCTGGGGCGCCATGCAAGATCTCACCTCGTGGAGCATCATTGATCTTGAGGAAGGTGAGGAATGAGCCCAGAACTACACGGCAGGACCTGGTCAATGACCTGAATAGAGCTGGGACCACAGTCTCAAAGAAAACAATCAGTAACACTCTACGCCGTCAAGGATTAAAATCCTGCAGTGCACGCAAGTTGCCCTTCCTCAAGCCAACGCATGTCAAAGCCAGTCTGATGTTTGCAAATGACCATCTGAATGATCCAGAGGAGGAATGGGAGAAGGTCATGTGGTCTGATGAGACAAAAATTGAACTTTTTGGTTTAAACTCCACTCGTCATGTTTGGAGGAAGAAGAATGATGAGTACAACCCCAAGAACACCATCCCAACCGTGAAGCATGGCGGTGGAAACATCATTCTTTGGGGATGCTTTTCTGCAAAGGGGACAGGACGACTGCACCATATTGTGGGAAGGATGGATGGGGCCATGTATCGTGAGATTTTGGCCAACAACCTCCTTCCCTCAGTAAGAGCACTGAAGATGGGTCGTGGCTGGGTCTTCCAGCATGATAACGACCCAAAACACACAGCCAGGGCAACTAAAGAGTGGCTCCGTAGGAAACATCTTAAGGTCCTGGAGTGGCCTAGCCAGTCTCCAGACCTGAATCCCATAGAAAATCTTTGGAGGGAGCTTAAAGTCCGTGTGGCCCAGCAACAGCCCCGAAACTTGAAGGCTCTGGAGGAGATCTGTATGGAGGAGTGGGCCAAAATCCCTGCTGCAGTGTGTGCAAACCTGGTCAAGAACTACAGGAAACGTCTGATCTCTGTAATTGCAAACAAAGGTTTCTGTACCAAATATTAAGTTTCATTTTTTGGTGTATCAAATACTTATTTCACACAATAAAATGGAAATTAATTATTTAAAAATCATACATTGTATTTTTCTGGATTTTTGTTTTAGATTCCATCACTCACAGTTGAAGAGTACCTATGATAAAAATTACAGTCATCTACAAGCTTTGCAAGTGGGAAAACCTGAAAAATCAACAGTGTATCAAATACTTGTTCTCCCCACTGTATCAATTACAAATCACTCCTGAAACTTTTCTCCATCACTCCATCCTGCCTGGACTCTCTTCTTCACCTCTTTACCACACTCCTCATCAATCAATCAATCAACCTTTATTTCTACAGGTAAATCCCATTGAGCCTCGAGGACTCATTTACAAGAGAGACCTGATTTCAACAAAGAAAAATGACAACAATGGACAACAGCAACAACAATAAACAGTTATAAAAAAGCATACTACAGTTTTTTTTTTTAACAAATAGGATGGCTAAAAGGAAAAGGTAACAAAAACAAAAAACAGCTAGATTCTAAGACAAATGTAGAAAACTAACAACAGGAACATGTCTGCATTGGTCCCTGCCAGGTGTCCAACAGATTCTTAAAGACACTTAGAGAGGTCAAGGTCGAGAGCTTCAAATTTTTTTGTAAGATGTTCCAGGATGTTCCTGGACAGTGGACCCCAAGTCCTTGAAGTCCTGCACCTTTGTGACCTCTGCTCCTTGTAGCCTCACTGTTCCACCTCCTCCCTCTCATTCACACACATGGACTCTGTCTTACTACGGCTGACTTTCATTCCTCTTCTTTCAAGTGCATACCTCCACCTCTCCAAGTTCTCTTCCACCTGTTCCCTGTTCTCACCACAGATCGCAATGTCATCTGCAAACATCATAGTCCATGGGGATTCCTGCCTGACCTCATCTGTTAGTCGGTCCATCACCAGAACAAACAAGAAGGGGCTCAGAGCTGATCCTTGATGCACTCCCACCTCCATCTTGAAGCTATCTGTCACTCCTACAGCACATCTCATCACTGTCCTGCTGTCCTCATACATGTCCTGTACCCGTCAAACATACTTCTCTGCCATTCCAGATTTCCTCATGCAATACCACACCTCCTCCCTCTGCACTCTGTCATATGCTTTTTCTAAATCCACAAAGACACAAAGCAAAGATGGCCTCTGTGGATGAAACCATACTGCTGCTCACAGTCACCTCTCGTCTAAGTCTTGCTTCCACAACTCTCTTCCAGATCTTCATCATGTGACTCATCAACTTAATTCCCCTGTAGTTGCTACAACTCTGTACATCACCCTTGTTCTTAAAAATGGGCACCAGCACACTTCTCCATTCCTCAGACATTTTCTCACCCTCATATATACCATTGAATATTTGAGTTAAAAACCTCACTGCCATCTCTCCTAGACATTTCCAAACCTCCACTGGTCATCAGGCCCTACTGCCTTCCCCTTCTTCATTCTTTTCAGAGTTTTCCGGACTTCACCCTCACTAATCTTTCCCACTTCCTGGTCCACAGTTTCTATGACCTCTACTCTTCTTTCTCTTTCATTCTTTTCATTCATCAGCTCCTCCAAGTACTCCTTCCATCTTCCCGTCACACTGTCCTCACTTGTTAGAACATTACCATTCCCATCTTAAACAAGACTAACCTGCTGCACATCCTTTCCAGCCTGATCCCTCTGTCTTGCCAATCAGTACAAGTCCTTCTCTCCCTCTTTAGTGTCCAGCCTCCCATACAACTCATCGTACGCCCTCTGCTTTGTCTTAGCTACCTCCCTCTTTGCTCTACGTCCCATCTCCTTATATTCCTGTCTCCTCTCTTCAGTCCTCTCTCTGTCATATTTCTTCTTGGCTAATCACTTTCTTTGAACGGCGTCCTGCACTTCACTATTCCACCACCAGGTTTCCTGATCATCCTGTTCACTGGATTCACTCCTGTTTGGTATCAGTCAAACCTCCATTGCACGACTACAACTGGTCCAGAATGCAGCAGCCTGATTTTTAACCAGTACAGGCAAAAGAGAGCACATTACACCAGTTTTGGCCTCACTGCACTGGTTACCGGTTCACTTTCGAATCCAGTTCAAAATACTCATGTATGTCTACAAATCACTGAACAGTGTC